ATCTTTCAGCTATATGCATATACATACACAAATACACGCACATGAGAATATACATATATACACACACGATTATATTATATATTATTTAAATTAATGTAGCATGCAAGCAAACACACGAATACGCACACGCAGTACTAATGAGTAATAAGCCCACCTCTTGTTCCAAAATTTGAATCCTTTCATTAGTACTATTTAATTTACGCAAAAGATCATCTATTTGCTTTTCTGATTTGCAGACATGTCCTTCTAATGCAGATATCTTTCTTTTTTCCTGTATATTTGCAGCTTTCAACGAAGCTGCTTCAATTTTTAAATTTACATTTTCTTGCTCTATACTCATTAATGTCCATCTAAAATCATCTTCTATAAATAAAACGCATGTTTTATTATTGCTGTAGTCATTATTATCATTGTTGTTATTATTATTACGGTAATTATTTGACCATAGCAAGATAATTTTGTTAAAACTGAATATATCTCACGTTTTTTTTGTAAATCTGTGCGAAGTATATTGTGCTTGTTGATACGTTGTTCCAAGTATTGTATTAAAGATTGTATTATTTGATCATTATCTGAAGTAGTCATTTCCAATTGAGGAAATGATCCTCCCAAACTAAAATAATATTTAAACATTCGATTATATTATGCGGCAATTTATGAAAAAAATAAGTAAAAAGAGAAGGAAAAAGAATTTAAATTATAACTGTTCAGTCAATTATTTCAATACCTGTATACTAGGCCTAGATCAATGTTCAAATCAGCTGCTTCTGGTCGGCCTTCTTTTTCCAATTTGCTTCTTGCTTCTTTGAATATCTAAAGAGAATAATAAAATTTATATTTACACGTGTATGTAAATATGTATATTCTGAAATTAGAAAATATTATATAAGCTAAAATTGTTACCTTATTCGCTTGCCTTCTGCCAGGAGTGAAACCGAGATCTAATTTTACAGAAGTAGGCCTTGTGATATGCACTTCTTGAGTCATTTCCGCAAATTTCATAACTTGCTACATATTAAACATTGAAGAAATTAATCAATTTTGTATTTCTTTTCAGATATATATTTAACACATCTTACTATCACACATACAATAGTTTCGTCATAATCGTCCGCCCTTGGATTTACACAGACTATCATTCTGACTTGTCCTTCCCCATCAAAATAGTTTTTGAATAAATGTGTAAGCTTAGAATCCCGATAAGGAACTATTTTATTTGTACCCTGATTCTGATTCTCTCTCAAAATTTCCAAACATGATCGCAGAGTCATTAAAGAGTTATTAATGTTTCCTATAAAATTGCATGCTTGTTGTTCAAAAGATTTCATAAATTTCATAAATGCAGCAAATGAAATGTCCTACCTGCTTCTCGTAAACGTTGACCGGTATTCTTAGTACGATTCGTTCGCTCGCTACCCGCTAAATCTACTAAAGATAATTGACTTACACACACAACTTGTTTAGCCTGCATTACCTGTTCGCCCTCACTATCCAAAGGTGCCTAAAATACGCAGAAAAATAATTATACACAGTTAAATAATAAGCAATTAAAATGCAATTGATTGTATTTTAAGATATCTCTGAAGCCTCAGATACAATGTGAGAGAATAGCGATAACGATAGGAATAATATGATTTAAACCTATCAGAAATGTATATTCAATAGCTGATAGGTTGAAATCGTGTTATTTCTATCACCATTACTATTCCTTCACATTGAATCTAGGTTTTGAAAGTGGCGATCGTGGAGTAGAGATTTGTGTGGCTGTTCTCTATCCCAAAGATTCAGGTTCAAATCCACTCAGAACACATATCAAATTTTGTCATTGCCTCTTGGAAGGCAATAACAAACCAACCATCAAGAATATCTTTGCCATGACAACTTCTTCTAATATGATCGTTTAAATTTAACATTAAAAACTGTAATGTCCATTTCTGCCAATGTTGATTAACTTTAATCTTATTTTAACTTACTGTTTATACTTTTTTAATTCTTAAAACTAGAAAAAGAAAAACTAAGTTAAAGTTAATCTATATTGATATAGGTCTTATATATCAGAGGATATACATAGAAGAGGTCACTACGTCTCTGACAAGAGACGACAAACTGAGGAGAAAAAGGAGAGTTGTTCAAAAGGATGTTGTACCTGTACAAGTCTGATGGTAAAAACGCTGTGTGATCTACTTGACTCTGCGTTCAATGTTGTGTACTCAACGTGTCTTTTCCATTGTCCACGTTGAAATAGTTCAAAAGCTTCTTCTGCACTTTTCACTTCAATTTCTGTAACGGCGTGTACATACATATTTTTGTTGCCATCTTCCCTTACTATTTTACTCTGCAATGTCCTACATTAAATAATAAAATAAATATGTTTTTCTACGCATATAACAAAACTGGCAACATTTCCTCTCATAAGGTATATACTACCTTGATCAAAAAGTTCCCAGAATTCATTCAGAAAATTCAAAATACAAGTTTATTCATCAAAAGTGATATTGTCCCCTTCATGATACTCCCCATCGACTGCAACGCACTTATGCCAGCGCTTGATCCAGCTCTCGAAACATTTCTGGAACTCTATTGTCGGTATAGCCAATCAGAGCCGTCTTCGATTTTTCCATTACCTCTTAGTAGTGGTTTTTTGACTCGATCGAACAGAAAAAAATCGCAGGGAGCCATATCGGGTGAATTCGATGGCTGTTGGATGGTTTCGTTCTTGGTCAAAAAATTTAATACAAACTCGTTGCAAATTCAACTCCATTTTTAAAACTAAAAAATCAAAAACACATGCAGAGGTAGATGTACTCAAGACGGCGTAACTTTTACAAATGTCAAGCTATGGCGATAAAATTTGGTGGAAATGTCAATGATAGATGTGGCAACCTAACAAAAAAAACAGAACTCAAATCAGCTGACTCAGAACATCACCTGGTGGTAATTCCGGGAACTTTTTGATCAAGCTAGTATATTATATATGTATATACACATACACTTACTTGGTTCTGATAAAATCTTCATCCAACAAGTCATATACACTGTTGTTGTATATTTCAACATATGTGACAAATATAGCGTATGCATTATCTACCTCGACTGTTAAGCTTTGAGATTCATTACGTTTGTGAGCTACCATTGGTTTACTATCTCCATCACTGTCGGCCTTATGGCTACATTGAATATTATTTCATAAGATAACATTGAATATTACCCACATATGTAACCTAACTACGTAAATAGAGACTTGTCTATCTCTATAAAAGTTCTATCAAATAAAGACTTACTGTTTGTCGAATCTTGCTCTTTGCAATAGACCCGCATGAAACTGCCTCTCCAACATAGCATCAGTCTGACTTTGTACATCAAAACTATTTAGTTTATCTGGTTTAAAGACAAACTTTTTCGTTTGATAATTGGCAATAGTATTAAAAATAACATCCAAACACCGAGGCATGATACCAGCATCTTGTGGATCTCCAGTCATCGTATATGTTTTCCCACTACCTGTTACACCATATGTAAATAGGAGGCCATTTCTTCCATTAATAAGATTTTCAACCAGAGGGAGGGCAACCGTTTCAAATATCTCTCTTTGTGTCACATCAGACTTAAATACGTGACTGAATGTCGTTTTTATCTCCTTATTAGTACGAAAGTTGGCTGCTGATCCTGGAGGCGTTATCACTACAGTCCTGTCAGATTCAACTGTCATGCACGATACATCCGTTAAAGATTGCATTGGACGTAAACGACAATAAACCTGCACGGGATCTTTAGACATCATATTCGATCCCTTTGGCCGACTGATTGGCTTACGAGCTGGAGTTTTCGAACGTCTGGAACATTTGTGTGGAGGATGTTTACTTTCAGTTTACCTTAGTCTTAGCTCTTAAAATTCGCACAAGCGAATATTTAAACATTCAAGAGAACATTTATCGAGCTTGAACACAGAATTATATTAATTTTACAATACTTACGCGGGCTTCATTATTATATAAGTTAGTTTAATTTTTAATGTCTATTAAGAACGTCGTAACAATTGTAACGGTTCCTCACTTTTTAATAAATCGTGTCAAATTATGACACGTGTATGGAAGTTCGTTACGATCTTTCGAATTGAATAAACGCTATTACCAGCAGAGTTGCCAATTGTCAAGTTGGAGGATTTTCCCCTAAATTTTCTATAGAAAATCATAAACAATTAAAGGTGCATTCACATGCAAGCGTCAAGTGTCAAGCAGCGGAAGCAACAACCAATCAGCTGGACGATACGGGCAGTGGTGTAAAAAATCG